CAAATGGCAGAAGGAGAACCCAGATCTCACATTGAACTCTGTCGTAATGATTATGGATTCACACCTTCCACGAGCCCTTTGGCCTGTAGGAAGAGTGACACGCTTGCTGAAAAGCCCAGATGACCACATCAGAACTGTGGAGGTCTTAGTACAGGATAAAACCTATATCCGCCCTGTCTCCTGTCTGATTCCCCTGCCCTCGCTTCCTGAAGAAGACTGATCCTGATCATATCAACATATTTCTCACTAGACATATGGGGGCGGCTGTTGTAGAGACCCACCTTTTAGCACATCCCAGCACACCCACTCACTTCACCAGATGCACCTTGTTTAGTTCTCTCACCTTTGAATGGGTGTGGTGCTTGTCCTTGATTGCACTCACCTGTCACACATTATATGTCACACAGTACATAAGGACTGCATTCACTCTTTCCTCACTTCCACACGGGGCGGCAGCTGAGCATTGGCAGTCCATGTGTGTCTTTGCTTCCTTCCTTTTTTGCCTTATTTATTTGAGAATAAAAGGAGTACCCTGAAAATAATTCTGCAGTAGATGGCTGCTTTTCTTATTCTAACCGGATGAGCCCATGAAGCTGATTGCTTCCGCCCTGAACCTTCCTCCCTTCAAAACAGTAATCGTACTGGGCAATTAGTGATACAAAAAAACCCTGTTTTATCCTGTGAATAAAAGTATGTTTTTGTCAATGTACCATGGTAATAACAGAAGTAAAATGCAATATTGTGTCAGGACAATTCACTATTTATGCACAATAAACAAAGGAGCATAGCGTGACAATTTCTGTTCAGCGCCAGACTTGCTTGTAACCTATATCACCAATTATGTTAAGAAAAATGATGTATTAACTACTACAAAACACCTTTGTGGAAATGCTTGGAGCAGACTAACATATGAGCTGGAGTGTTCTGGGTTGTTATATTTGGTCTTCGAATGGCTGCAATCCAGTCGCCTCTTTGTTACTTGGGAAACATGGCTTGAACAATTTCTCTTCAACGACGTAATCCGATAACAACCGATCTCTTTACCCGTCAGCTTCCCGTGGCTGTCATGCGACCGGCTATTGCAGTTAATAATACAACAGCTTCTTGCCATTTTTTTTCTTTTTATCGCTGTGTAATGTAATTTCAATTGAAAGCCTGCGTGCGCTAGTACCTCTTGCCACGAGTTCCCAGAATCCTTTGCGGTTTTACCCCTGAATGATGTCACATTTTCAATCTCTATTCATTCACTCTCACATTCACACTGGTGGAGGTAAGCTACAGTGGTACCCATAGCTGTCCTGGGGCAGACTGACAGAAGCGAGGCTGCCATATCGCGCTATCGGCCCCTCTAGCCATCACCAGTAGGCGGTAGGTGAAGTGTCTGGCCCAAGGACACAATGAGCGAGACTGTCCAGCAACCTTCCGATTACAAGACAAACTGCCAATTCTTGAACCACGATCGCCCTTTTTGAACTTGGTTTATTGGAAATTACCCTACACTGCATACTTTAAATCTCACTGCGCATCTGTCATTCTCCTTTGCAGACCCCTTTGTGTAACCCACCTCCTCCCCATCTCCAACTCTCTTTTTTTAACAATATTTTTAGTCATTTATTTTCACAAACAACCCATAATTACATAATATGATATGGTGTAAAATTCACAGCAATGAAAAACAAAAAAAAGGAACAAACAAACCAAAAACCAAACACACAACACCAGCTCAGATCCATCTTAACAATACCTGTGGTTCCAATAGTATGCAGTTCGAACACTCAAGGAAATCCTTGTAGTAAAATATTAGAGACATCGGGTTATACATGATTCACGTATGGTTCACAGACCTTAAAGAATTGGTCTGTTTTTGAGTGTAATATACTCCAATGCTCCTCTTTGCCAGCCTTTAACAGTTGGTGCTTTTTCATTAATCCACTGCAGTTTGAATATTCTTCCTCGCAGCTTAGGTGAGAATACAATACAACCTCCTATTAGTCTTGGATATTAAATGCTGGCTCATGAGATGACACATGTTCTCAGACAAATCATACATGACCCAGCAGTTTTCAAAGAATGCAAACTTTGTTATTACAACAGCTGCCAGAAAAGAAACTGGTTGATCTTGATCGGTGGTCATTGCTCTCTCTCTCTGGATTTTAACTAGCTAGTACTGCTGGCTATTTTTCTAAGCCAAGATGATCTTAAAAGAGATGCTAGCATTAGCCATGTTAGTCCGTTACCTTCAACAGGTGGTCAGGCTGTCCACAGGTGCACACGTGGAGTTTCAACTGCATAGTCCCTTCATCCTTCATATATCTGTGTTAGAAAGAGTGTAAATACTGAGGTCCAATGGTCTTTGTACATACAAAATTCAGTAGTAATTAGGACTTTTTTTCTAGGCATTCGTTAAAAATATATACCTTATTTATTTTATACCAATTAAAGGGATAGCTCAGTAGGTAGAGTGGTGGCCCCATGATCGGAAGGTCGGGGGTTCGACTCCACTGAACGGCTACCCTTAGGTACCCCAGAGCTAGGTACCGTCCCTACACACTGCTCCCCGGGCGCTGCATTGGTGGCTGCCCACCGCTTCACTGGGTGAATGGGTTAAATGCAGAGGAACTATTTCCCTATGGGGACAAACACATACACATTACAATACAATACACATTACATTACAATACTACACTAGTAATGGCTTTAGACTTCCATGTGTGAAACTCTTACTAGTTTAGCCACACTGCTTGCGTAGAAACCTAGACTTGCAATGATTTGAAGTTGTGAAAGCTCAACTGGATTTATGACATGTTCATTTAGTTCTGCCATAGTGCCTTCTATATGGCATGACATCCTACTTTTGAAATAAATAGCATGCTACAAATTCTTCATAATCTGCAAATTTTCTTCTCATTTCTCAATTTACATGAAATTTTTATTTATTTATTATTTATTTATTTTTTTGGATGCACTCGGATGTGTGGATCCAACTTGATTTTTTCCAAAACACAAGGCCCTACTTTCATCAAGTTCATTCAGAGTTTAACTGAAACATTTGGCACGGTGTTTTCGTCAGTCTGTTTGAGTTTCACATCACTTTTCCACAGAAATCACTGGTGATAATTTGAAATGGGGACACATACTGACAATACAAAAGCAATTGCTCTGGGATGTAATCTATGTGAATGTAAAGTTGTGACTTAGCATTCTTGTAGTTTCCTAGCTAACTAGAGACTGTGTGGGTTTGTATACAGTGTACAAGTGGAAACATTATACAATATTTGAATGAATGAAGAAAAGTGCATATACTGTTAGCATGGAGTAATAAGTTGATTTTAACAAAATTAAAGAAACATTTTAACAGCTATTTAATACATTAAAATACCCTTTCCTTTAATGGTGGGCATTTATAAAACAATGTCTATTCTTGACTACCCACTATAAGTCATGATTAGACTTTGTATGTCAGTTACACATGCTTTATGGAACATGCATGTTGTCCATCAGCAATTAAATGCACAGCTCATTTATACTCAAAGATTCTCTCTCTTAAAAACAATTGTCATTTCAGTTGCTCATAACTGGACTCATTTTAAAGGGCTTGCGGAAAGGGAGTCATGATTGTTCGGGTTTTCTCTGCTTTCTTTATTATATTCTCATATTTATTATTATTTAATAATATCATTTATTATTGTATATACAATAATAAATTATATTATTGTGCTTTCTTTATAATAGAAAGCACCTTGAATAATTTTGATTTGGTACTACTTAAATAAAATAAAATACAATTGATCTGAGCTGTCCTACCACGATTACCTTACTCACCCAATCACTAACTCAGTCAAACTATATACTGTTACCATCCATCTGGCCTGTGTTGCTTGCAATCTGTTTGTAACCTTTTTAGTGTCTGCCTTCAGTCTTTTAAAATAACAATTGTATTAAAAAGTACAACATAAACACATACAATCATAAAACCTTTTCCCTTAACATTAAAGTTACCTAAGTGAGAAAGTCAGGGAGAGCTCAACAGGTTTGTGCAAGTTTATGCTTGGAATCCCACCATGCACTTAGAAATGTGGAAAAGCCCTCTTTTGCTGTGTGCAAACAATTCAATTTTCAGTATAACAAGTTATAATTTATTTTCCTCATTGACCTCTGTTTGGACAATATCAGAAAGAACAGTGCCCTGAGGCACCTGTTGTTGTTTTCTTTTGTTGTTCCAAAGCTATGGGTGAAGTCTATGATTCTGGGAAATGGGCTTTGTAGAGGGGAAAAAGAAGAAGAAGAAGAAAGTGAAAGCATTCTGGAAAGTGAAATTAATGTTGCAAAACACCTCTTGGGGGTGGGACCACTTGTGCAGGCAGCGTGCTGCTTACTTCACAGCATCAGGAGCCATACTCAAGACAGAAACGGTGAACAGCGGATCTGCCATACAGCCACAACTATGAACTCAGTCACTGCCTTCATTGCCTGCCTGCTTATCCTAGGTGCACAAGGTACTGTGAAAAAAAATTTTTTTTTCCTTCTTTGTTTCTTTTTTTCCCCTTCATCCTGTTTATGGATATTTTGGCTGCTGATCAACGGGTAATGCTCTTGTCTTTTCCTACACAGGACAACCAGCCAGCAAATCTAATAAATGCAAGTGTTACAGTTACATTGGCAGGATCAGCCCAAAGCTCATCAAGGCTGAGCCAGTGATACACTACCCAAGTATCTTCTGTCCACATACAGAAATCATGTGAGTCCACAAGATCATCTGAGGCATGATTCTGCTGTGTTCTCCAGCTCCTTTCTAATACACCTCTTTTTAAAAAATCTTTCAGTGTTACCACAAAAGCAGATATGAAGAGGTGTGTGAGTCCAGAGTCCCCACTTGGACGACACATTCTAAAAAATCGTACTTACTAAAACTTACTAAAAAAAGTAAGTCAGAATGACACGCACGCACAACTCTGTGTGAAGATGACAAACTAAAGGTCTGTGTTGCTTGTCACTGATAATCTCACTTGTTTCTTCAGGCAAGGGAGGAATGGAGCTGTACATATGTTTTTTAAATAAATACCAAAATAAAACTCATGTGATGGGACTTTCTGTTCTTTGTGTCTTGCTTTGTTTCCAGTGTATCAACATAAGACAAACTAAACTCTTACACATATATTTTTTAGGATTTAAAAAGAGTTTTAAAGTTTTCTTTAATCTGGGAAAATACAAACTGAGTGATAATTCCACTTTGAAACAAATGAGCGTACTGTGTGTGCAACAGTAGTGCTGGTCATAGCTGTTAGCTAACTGGGTAAGGGTGTCATGAGTCTGTAGCTCAGTCCACCGGTTTATTTAGTTTTAAAGTAAGTTACAGCCTGCCTTTTGGAGGGGTTATATTTCACTTAACACTATCTAATATGCATATCCACATAATTGTGGATTATTATAATCATGATAGAAAAAAACGCATTGTGTTTTAAAGAAAATACATTAAGAAAAAGATTGTTAGATTTATATTTCAAATATAACAAAATGCTGATTTTACATCACCCAAATTATTGTATCTCTACAGTTTAAACATTTAATAAGATTTTGATGATTATTGATTGATTATGCCTTTAATTGTCACTTGCGGTGTTACACGTACATGTTACCTGCAGTGAAATGGGACCCCTTCCCTGTTTGAAACAAACTGAATCATTATAAATAAATTATTTTATATTTATTACTTTAAAAAATTCTCAGTACTCATACTATATGACTAGGAATAAACAGTAAGGGAATGATTCTGGATCAGCACCATGATGAAAACCTGTTGCTATACAGTATTCTGAAAAAAGTTGTACAATGTCACACTATGTGCATGTGCGTGTTCAATTCAATTCAATTCAATTTTATTTATATAGCGCCAAATCACAACATAAGTCGCCTCAAGGCGCTTCATAGATACAGAGAAAAACCCAACA